CTTTTCCTCTTATGGTGCTGTGAGATCAGGGCAGCAACGCTTTTGTTAAATAAATAAAAAATGTTTAAAAAGATCCTTTTTTGCTCAGAGGAACGATTGCCAGAGGAAAGATTCTGGTTGCCACGGCGCTGACACGGCAGTGATGGTTGGGATATAAACGCACAAGTCCCCATTCACGCTTAACCCACATTCTTCCTCCTCTCCTCCAAATCTTCTGCTGGCTGGAGGTCAGATCCAGACAGCGTGATTCAGCAGGGAGAAGGGGCAGAGAGGGCTGGAATTCTTCACCTGGCCGGTCACTGCGAACAGCGGACGTGGCTGTTGGTTTGTCAGTTTTGGGAAGTTTAAAAAAATTGGCCCAAAGGTCTAGCCACCTGAAAGGAGCCTTTGACTTATTTCGGACTTTTCGACCGGCCCTCCTGACTGAGTGGGATTCACCGGGCAGCCCTCACGGTGCTGAAGTCAAAGCCTCCCTCTGCAGTTTTTGGTCAGTAAATGTTTAAACTGAGACTTAATTGTTTTTGAAGAGCTCGGAAACAAGCAAGAGTCAGACGTTGACTTTTTTTTTCTTTCTTTCTTTTTTAACAAATGCTTTCTCTGAAAAGCTGAAGTGCTTTTCGAGACATTTTACAACACCGCTGTCTCACAGTGAGATTAATATGGCACCCACTCATAAATATCCTCTTTGGGGGAAAACGATGATCCTCCCGTTTTCTCTGTGTTTTCCTCCCAAACGCTTTGCGAGCCGTGACGTTTAAGGACACAACTGTGTGTTCTCTAAATGGAGATCCTTTGATAACACAAAGCAGGATGGCTTACAGTGAGTTTGACACGTTCCTTTGTGAACGCTTGACAAAGGCAAGGCTAGCAACACGCGTTCCAGCCTCCGGTGGACAAGGCCCCCTCAGACCAGACCTTTCCCAGACGTCACTGACGTGTCAGGAGGGAGCGCTTTATAGGGGGGGAGAGGGAAACTCCACCTAAGGCTGCCCGTGGGTATTTATACTCTATAATGGCGTTCTCTGTTGCCCGTAATGCCAGACTAACAAACTAACAAACTCTCTTGGCAGGTCGGGCCTGTAATCAGGCTTCGGAACATTGTCACTGCCGCACCGCAACCCTGATTCCGGGCCTAACTTCACAGCCAGACGTGTCGTGCTGATTCCCTTTCTTACTCCGATGTGCATTTTCTGCCAGCTGCATTAGCGAGACAGAGGAATCGAGTCCTGTGATGCAGGGACGTTCCTTTGAGCTGTGCTGAGACCAGTAAACGTTTTTTAAGGCCTCGTGTCGGGGCTGACCGGAGAGAGCCAGCATCCCATTGTGCTGCTGTCTGGACCGGGGAAACAAGAAGCTGGTAATCGTTGGAATCTGCTCTCCTGGCTGGAACGTTTGCAATTCAAAACTGCGTCAGAAAATTCTATTTACAGCATAATTGCGATGGCCCTTTTCCAACTCAGTCCTAGTCCACTTGGTCTAGGTAGTTTTCCATTACAATTGACTACCGTCTCAATTCAGTTCCTGATAGCGAGACGATGTCATGTGAGACACAAACCCCGACAAAAAGTTAGTTAGACTTCGCAGACATGGCAAACCTGCCGCTTGGCTGTTGGGCTACCATTTTTGTGTTGGAGTGTCACCATTTACCCATTGAGAAGCGATGATGCTGGGTTTTTAAAAATGGTGAAAGGGGCCCTTTAATGATTCATTGAAGTGAGGTCAGGCTAGGGGCCTGCAGTCTGTGGATGTCACATTTGTTTTTGTTTCTTTCCCTTTAATGAGTTTTAGTCAATAGTACCAAAGCTGGTACCTACTTGAAGGATACCAGCTGTTTTTTTTTCTTAAATCAATTAAATACCAGCTTGCAGCGAATTATATCAGAACGTAACTTTGCACAGTGTTATTTTTCTTTCTGCTAGCAAAGAGCCTTAAATCCTCCATTATGGTGAATTAGCAGTGTGTGTTCTTTCAACAATGGTGGTCACGGCTCTTCAGTAAAACCAAATGGAAGCGCCGTTCGGGTGGCAGCGCCCCGTGGCACAATCATGGCTTTTTTCGTTGGGTAGAATAAATAAGCCATTCCCGATTCAAAATGACGTTTGAGAAAACGAGAAAAAGCGTTTCCTGGCCCAGTGCTGTTGACATCATGCCACAGCCTACAGCTGAAGTTCCTGTGGTTTTCAACGCGTGATTGAAAACAGCTTTTCTTTGTGGGAATGCTGCATGGCTCTATGTGTTTCATCAATTAGGGTGACAGAACTTCACGTTATACTTTAGTTGTAAGCATCAAATCTTAGCTTTAACGAAACAGTCAGATAAACAGATGTTTTTTTGTCTTTGTGATGTCATCCCTCAAATGAGTGTTTTAAGACTAATAGCTAACACATGGATCATTACGAAAACAACAGTCACTTACTACTGCGAGTTAAAAAACAGGAATGTTTGCATGTCTAGGACCAACTGTAGGTTGGGACGGATAATTCTGTTAATAGAAACATATAACTCAATGCATCTACTGAAATATGTCTTGTGTGACATTTATATATATCAATCCATTCCATGAAGATTTGTTTCTCATTTCTTAATGGCATCACTCTCAAATACAATGCATCTGCTCCAGAGAGCTTTCTAGGTGCTTCATTTATCTGCCATTTCTTGTTTTCTCCACTGATTAAAGAGTCAGTCAATAAAATCAATATTCAATATATAGTATATTATATAATTATATTCTGTGTAGGAGATTATTCAAAATGTTATATTTATGCTACATACAAATGAGATGAGTTTAATCCATTTACAGTAACAAATGTCCTCAATATGCCCATTTCCTTCAATAACGTGGATGCACAAAAATGTGACCGTTGTCTCCAAAAATGGTTTTAAAAAATGCAACGAACAATTTCTACTTTCCTCAGCCTGACAATTTTTGGTTAGACCCGAGTCAAAAAGGTTTATTTATTTGGATGACCAGAATAGACCGTGTGTGTGTGTGTGTGTGTGTTCCCTGGTCAGGACAAAGAGAATCCTGTTTTCTTATGTCCAAGGCCAGGGCACATTCCCCTCGATACCCTTTCCCTTGCTTCAAAAAGTGCTTATTTCTGCTCAGCCTCAGCCAGTGAGTCAGAACTTGTGCTCACCGAGGTGTGAAAGTTTACCTAGACGGCTGAACCCTATGTGGTACAGAGAAAGAGTGAGAAGGAAGGAGCAGCTGGCGTCATTGCCTTTCTTGGGGAAGAGTGTCGGCAGCGGCGTTTCTGTTACATTCCTTCCCCCTCGGACTGTTCATACAGCAGTGCCAAGACAATATGCCGTGTTTACCCTGACCGAACATCCATCACCACAAACCACAGCTGTGTGAAAACCTCCTGTGCTTTAGAGTTGATATATGTCTCTTAACTTGGCCTCATTATTGTGGTGATCCTTTGATTTTTCCTCAGAAGTCCCCCCCCCCCGGGCTTATCGAAACAATGACGCTCTCTTTTTGCATTTGCACTTTTTGCAAGTGTTATAATATCCAGACCCACTGAGACAGATTCTGCTCGTAAACTGTTTGCATGAGATATTTTTTAAATCAAAGAGGGTGTGTCCCTCTTATATACTGAGGACCTGCGCACAGTGTACCCCGAATCTCGCCCGATGTCCGCTGAGTTTGCCTTCAGCCTCTCTGTGACCCTGCTTGGAAAAGTTTTTGTAGAGAACGGACTGATGGACACATGGAAGACAGCCATAGAAATAACCCTAAGAGGCAAGCCAGTAAAGGAAAGGGGAAAAGTAGCAATCGGAGAGAATTGTTTCTTGCACAAAGGAGATCTGAGCTGATGTGCTGCAGAGTTAGCAGCATGAGCTAATAAGTGCTAACACCACCTTCGTGGTGTGTTAAAGCTCACCAGCACATGTCAGAAAACAAAGTAAAACAGAGGTAGAAAGAGAGCCAGTGGTTTATTACAAAGAAAAGATGTGTCAGTTATGAAACAAACACATGAACTGGACTGCAACACGAGCAGCGCACAGTTTGTGTTCGGCATCCTCGGCATGTGTCGCTGTCTGTCCTGTGAACACCGCTGAGGGGGACAGGCTGCTGGAAAAGCTGCCAAGAGCCCACTGTGACTCTGGCTCTTTGGTCCTATTAGGACCTTCATAACATTTCTGGGGGGGCAAATATCCCCCAATGAAAAGTGATTGTCACCCAGGGGTGCGTACATTGTAACAGAAATCCATTTAACTCCATTTCTTTATTATAACTGAAGACTTGTGTCTCGAGGTGGCCGGTGTATGTGTGTGGCCTGCACTTATAAACTGTTAACGGTCATAAAAAAATCACAAAACTGAACAAGTACGATTTTTACAGGTATGTGTGTGTGTGAATTTCTACCTCATAAAATTATTTAAATACATTCGTAACTTTATGAGCAACAATTTCATTTTATGGAGTATGATGTACAGTATGGGGTATTATGGGAAACTTTGTAAATAACAAAACCTCCACGTTGCAGTGGAATAATGTCTGTAATGAAGGAAGGATCTATTTCTGAGTTTTGTAACAGAAAAGAGAAGCCAGCTCAGCAAGAGTCCGTTTGAAAGACTTATTTCATAGATGCTTCAGAAATCGGTGATGTGGCTGAATTGGCAGATCTTCTTCTCCCCGTGGCCTGTTGCGTTGCCTTTTGGAAACGGGGCAATGCAATCCGTCTGCTCCAGCTATAGTTCACTTGAGGTGACTGCAATTCAAAGGAATTCTTTCCCGACGAGGGGTTGTGTATAGAAAAGCCACAAAAGAGGCTCTCCAAAATGTGTGAATAGCGCATGTTGTCAAGACTTAATTGCATGTCTCAGTGCTTTTAAATCAAAGGTGGCTTGCATCCCCACGGTGCACTTAAGTGGGGGCTAGCTTGTTGAGATGCACTCGTGAGACCTGTACGTTTACGACGGGAAGAAAGTCTGTGATTCCATGAGGTCGGAGCAAAGTCAAAGAGAGGAAGCTGGTGTGAGCTGTTCGTGAAATGCCCCCCCCCCCCTTTGGGAAAAGCCTGCATGGCATGCAGAGCGAGCAGCGTTCTCTTTTCGGTACGACCGCCATAAGCCCAGGCTCTGGAAACGCGAGCCACTAAAAGTTATGAAAACTTAATAGAGTGCAGAATCCCAGACGCAGCACGCCGCTGTCTTTCACTGGGGAACTTCAGAAGGAGCTTCTGGTGATAAACTTACATTTTACAGGAAGAAAATAAAACAATCAGTCATTTGTAAAGTAACGATGAACATGTGTCCTGGCTGTAATCACAGTATCGCACAACATCATGCTCCCAGAGGTTTTGAATTGTGCCAAGATATCCCAGACAGAAACGGTTGGGGCGTCTGGGTTATCTTCTAAACCGGTCAAAAGGCTTCAGGAGCCAGCTGTTTCTTTCCAGTTGTCAACTGTGGAAGCTGTAATCATCATTTTGAAACATTTGACTCTAACAGCCATTATATGACTACTTAGAGATCTTTGTGAGTCCATTTGCTGCCAAGAGAGTGTGGAAGCGTCAACCAGTATCTCCATATTGAAGCTAAGTCAAAAGATACAGTTTTTTTCTCCCTCGCAGCTTAGCTGGTTGGTAACAAAGCACAGAAAAATTGTTTTTTTAACAGTTTTGTGGTGCAAGCATCAGTCTTTCGGCCTGCAGATTTCAGTTGCTTATCCCACGTCGACCTGTCTGAGCTGCGCTCAAGGCTGGTGCTGGGAAAAAGGAGGGCCTGGAAATCTCTTGTAACCATTAAAATCATATGTTTCCCAGGAATAGCTTTCCCAGATGACGGAAATGTCACCCCCCTGCTTGTTTTATGATCTGACATCTTCCCGCAAGCCAAGAGCAGGAGCGCAGAACACCTGTTGTTCAGGATAAGAGCCGCTCCCTCCTGTGCGTTGTTTGATGGAAGACTTCCCTTTTTCTAAATTAAATTGTCTACCATGTGTTAGAATATCATCAGGGCAGAGCTGCTTTTAGCCCATTACACAACCTCTGTGTGAGGCAAATGCAAGAATGGAGGTTAGACAGGGCCGCAGACACAGATGAGACTACAGAGTGACTCATAGTTACAGGAAAGCAGTAGGAAATAGGCCGGTAAAAAGCTACCGGTCTGACTTTGTGAATTTGACTTCACCCGTTTTAAATTTAAGCACATCAAAAGCTCTGAAGCCAAACGATTTAAGTCCATCTTCTTGACAAATGAGTTTTTATCCCAGTGGTTGGCTTCTCTTCATCCTCGATCCTCAGCTGCTCCAGGCTAAGATCAGATAAGCAGTCCCTGCTGTGAACTACCCGGGGGGCTGCTCCTCATAGCTGGGTATGCCTGGCCGCTCTCAAAAGAAAGGCAGCTATGAGGCACCCTAAGCATACAGTCAAGCCCCAAACAATGGGCCTCCTATCCACGCTGCTGAGCTTTCCTCCCTTTGATTGCTGCCACCCTATAAACTGATAAACCTCCCTTTTTTATGCTAATTCTATTCAGGATTTTTTCTTTAATAACAAATCTAGTTTGACCAACTGAATGTTATTGATAGACGAGGAAATTAAAAGTCCTCGCGCTTTATTTTGGCTTCCTTTACTTCAGGCACGTCTGGAGGGACGGTGAACACCCGTCTGTGGTATTTTCGTCATGTGGACACTTGCTCTTTGTCCAGACAAGTAGACATGCAAGTCATGTGTTCTGGCTGGACTGTCCAGCAGGCCGGCAGCCCAGAGCGGCCAAAAGGCTTCAGCTCACATGTCTGCCACAGCATGAGTGCTTCAGCTGGACATGGGCAGGAATGACTGTCCTTTTTGTTTTGTTTTTTGTATAAAAGGTGGAGAAGGGCAATTCGAGTGCTTGTTTTAAAGACAGTAGGATACATGCTATTATCCACAGCTCTATGATACATTATATAGTGCTGATATATCAGACAGCAGGTGAAATGGGAACAGTGGGCGGCTACATCTCGTGGAAATCTCATGTCAAGACTCATTTCAACTGATTCAACAAGGCAAAACGAAATCCCTCAAAGTGTTCTGGGGCAGAGTACACTTTAGTCCAACTCTTTAGACCTTTATAGGATCCTGATTTGTTCTCATTTAAACCCCCAGTTCTAAATCATTTCGTGTGCCAGCGACCAATAAACAATTTACAGGAGCCTGCTGTATATTAAACAGACGACAGATTGGCTGATAAAACATGAAAGGAAAAGCAGGATTACGGTAGCACTATAAAATTATCTTAAAATGTCATTAGTTTTTTTTGTTGGCCTGTCTGAGGACTAGCACACAAACATGTCGTAAATTTAAGGATTTCAGATGGGGGACAAGTAAATGCTCAGGCAATGAGAATCTTGAGATCTGGAGTGCTTCCTTCCTTGGCTTGAAACAACAGACAGAACTTCTCTGATTAAAGCTACGGAGCTCGTTTCACAAAGCAAAAAGGAGCAGGGAAAAGCGGCTCAGTGGGTGCAGTCTTCCTCTCTAGCTTCACATTAAAGGACAGTGTCAATGTATTTTTGGTTAACCCTTCGTCAAACCTCACACTTCACCACTCACGGCCACTGGAAATGTCCTAGAGGTTTTGTGGGAGCTGTTCAGTCCCAAGAGGGACAAGATTATTGACTCTGTCTTTGAAAATATGCTTCTGTTTTTCAATATAATTAAAACTACAGTAGTCGATCCTAATTTGAGACATAGGTTTAGACTGCTAAACCAAACAGTTACCAGTATGTTGACATTGGTTTGAGGTTTACAAGGGACACGGTTCACAGAAGTGGGAATGTCAATACTTATATTTAAGCTTAAAACAATATACAGAAATCTGTGGATATTCCTTTAAATGAAGCCAGAATTGTTGGGACTTAAAATGTCTGTTCTTACGTGGAAGTCTTTTCCCCTCATCTCCACAAAGCGGAAGCAGATCATACAAAAAAAACAAAAAAAAAACAACAGCATTTTTCTCTCCTTTCAGGAAAACTCCTGGTCTTGACTGTGGCAACAGAGGAAACGGATGGCTTCCACCGCTTCATGCAGTCTGCCAACTACTTAAACTACACTGTGAAGGTGAGCCTGATGCCGTCTTTTCTAAAGCTGCAGCCCCCAAATGGCTCTTTTTGTCCTTCCGCCTAATGAGGCTGTGCTCACACTCACTGCAACTAAATATTTTTAGCACACACTGGCCAAAGCTGATTGAGCCCATTAAAACAAACAATGAAATGCAGCAAGCCATAAAAACATCCATCCCAAAGGGATACTCCTCAGCGTGGAGCCAGAATTCCCCTATGTGGTTGAAGCCAGTAATAAAAAGCTTTTTTTTTAGCCAGTTACTGCCTACATTTCCAAACTCTTGCAAGGCGTCACTCGAGACGACCTTTGTCAAAAACCTGCCAGCAATCTCGGTTGCAAAAGTTTAGTGGCTGTGCAGAATGTCATTAAAACCTGAGTGGAATGATTAGCAAATGTCACAAAGCCATCTTTAAGTCACAATAGATCACAGAACATAAATGTTTACCATTTTTTAGGCTTATTGTCAACAGTATGGAAACATCTATGAGCCAAGAAGACCAGTCTCTGGATATTTGAAGGATAAATGTTGTCCCCTTTAGGACTTCTTTAGGTCTTCTCTCCCATATTCTTAGGGTTCCACATTGTTTTCAACTGGTGGAATGTCAGGCCCTTTCTGCACTAATAGCGTCTCTTCAGATGTTCCACAGCTTCCCTCTTTTTTAGGATGCAGTGTCCTTTATTTACATTGTACCAAAAACATATTATTCTGTAATCGCACCATACTTTGTAGGCTGTAGACTCTGCCTCTCTGTGGCGCTCTTTTTCTGCCCAGACACGTTACCAATCAATTGGTAGTTAACCTCCTTAGTGGCAGCTCGCCTGTCTAGCTGTGTCTTTGCATCACCTTCTACTTTTTCAGTCTTTAAGATTCTGACTTGAGACAGAGCCATTTTTTATTTTTCATGGAGCAGAGACATATCTATGTCATGAAAAGGAATTGTCTGATTTTTTATATTTATGTGTTTTAGTGGTGTTATATCAAAGACTTTTCTCAAATTAAGGACATCTATAGAAATCATATGAGCATCGTGAGCAGTTTTCAATCAAATTATGTTGAAGCTCATTCAGGCTGAATTCATACAAGGGAGTCAATAAAAGGTGTCCAACACAGAGTGAAAAAACATGCTAAATGTGAAAAACCAGCTCCAGTGTGGCAATTCCCTTTGAAGTATTTCATGAGAAGTATAAACATATTGCTCAACAGCTAGAATTCCTGGGAGATAAGCTCATAAATGAATTATGGTGCACATCAGTTGGCATTCTTACAGCATCATTGTTTTGCCTTTAGCCAGTTCTGCAGCTCAACACTTTGTGTGTTTCAGGTGTTGGGGATGGGAGAAGCGTGGAAGGGAGGTGATGTGGGTCGCTCTATTGGTGGAGGACAAAAAGTCAGACTACTGAAGGAAGCAATGGAGGAGCTGGCTGACCAGGAGGACCTTGTTGTCCTTTCTGTGGACAGGTAGGCTGCTAAAAGTGCATCTGAAAACACTTTATGTCCATTCCTTTTCATTTTCTACTAAAAACATTACTTTTGTTGCAGTTTTAGCTGATTGATATATTCATTTCCACCCCCAAACAGGAAGCAAGGCACCTTTAATTGCAGTGTGCTGCTAATTTTCACTGTCACAGACTTTAATAACGGCTTTTGAAGCTATAACTTTGTGAGAGTTGTTTGTGGATGGAAGAAAAGAAGCAAATACTCATTCAGGCACAGGCTTTAATATATGTACGGAGAACAATCTGCAGGTTGCTGATTTATGATTTCTGAGTTCCCAGACCAATGGGAATTTTCACTGAGCTAATGTGAGCGGTTAAAAATAATCAGGGCGTTCCGAGACACTCTCCCTTAAATAGAGCGTAAGATAATCATATTCCCAGTGCCCTGTCACATAAATAATGTCAGCCGTAATTGCCATGCAAAGCTATCCCACCCTTCAAACAGGTAATTGGAATGTCATTTTCTCTCCCATAGAGGAAGTGATTGTAGTCTAATAAACTGCTTCTGTGCGAAGGAAGATTATGAGCCATTTAGGTGGATTTTAACATCCATAATCCTGCTGGGCCACCCAAAGTGCTTGGACGGGCTCCGTTTCCGACACAGTCACAGCTTTTACAGTCTGTCTGAGGTCAAATGCAGTCACTGAACTCTAAATGATTTTCAAGCCGAGTGTCTTAGCACGTGCCGAGTTCCCAGAGAATGAACTGTTCAAAAGCAGAATCAGTGGAGACGGCAGGCGTTTCCAGGCAGGATGCTGCGCCTGCGTCTGCTATACGGCGTGCCTCTGCAGCGGGGGAGAAAAATCTAATGTGTCATTTTTTTGCTTTTGCCTGCACGGAGAAAAGTGAACCAAGTTAGTTTTTCTTCTACACAAACCACGCATTTTGTAATGCCAGCATTAAAGGAAACGTTTGCTCCAACCTGGTGGGCATGGCACATTGATGACATTCTCTAAATAAATACCACGGTTCTAGAAATAAAATGTCTAAATATGGTTCTATAACCACTTTGCACCTCACATATGTTTGAATACATGAAAACGCAGCTTCAGTTGCAGCCCCTTTTTTTCTAATGTTGAACAAAATCCCTAAATATTACCTGGATTTAAGTCACAGAATTGCTATGAGATAAGCATGACCAAATTCAAGTGTTTTCTTGAGGGAAAGGATGAGCACATCATTAAAACTTCTTACACAGAGTTCAAATTAAAACAAAGATCACAGAAAGCAGAGAGCAGCAAGGAAACACAAGGAAGCTGACGGTAAACTTTTTTAGCTCCTTTTTGTTATTCCACTGAAGGTGATGAGGATTTAAAAGAAAAGACGATTTCCTTTGTCTTCAGCTTAAGACTTACCTTTTTATGTTAGTATTTCTGATGCTGGGAGCCTAAGTGTATTTCTAACGTGTGTTATTGTAAATTTGACTCCCTAAATGACTGTCTTTATTAATAAGGAGAACCGGCACAGTTGCTGGTTTACAGCGATCTAATGCACAGAAAAAGAATTCAGATCTACAGTTAACAGCCATAGGTAACCATATTTCAGAGCATTTAGTTTTGTTATTAAAGCCAAGCTGGCAGTGTAGGCTTTCTGCTCAGCGGCTGGTCTCTGTGGAAGGTCATTCGAGCCGGACTGGCCCAAACGGCACAAAGGGGAACTATTTAGTTTCCTGGACAGATTTGTTCAGCATGACTTCCATGTACTTCTGCGACATCACACACGTAATGTTTTCGAGGACTCTGGGTCAATTTATACAAGAAAAACCACGATTTATGACTTAACAAGTCATGGGGGATATGTATACGAACATGTGTCTGCCAGATGTGGAGAGGACATATAGGCTCTCTCACTACATTAAACTTCCCCTCTTCTCATGGTCCCACTTTCACTTTTGCTCCAATATTTTATGGTAGATTTTTCTTTCCTTTTGACCTTTTCGTTTGTACTCAAGTGTATAATAGTCATGTCTTACAGTGACTGTTGAATTTGTGCCACCATGACGGCTTAAGATCTCATAGAAATAAACTCACCAGGTGTATTTGGAGTTCCCACATACTCATGCACAAAGGCATCGCTGTGTTTTATAGCCTGCGCTGGGAAAGTGTTGACAAAGCTTGCCTCTGCAAACCCCCGAGGAATGTGGACTATTTACATTTAGATTTCTATCTTTCTCGGGCAAGAAGAAGCTTAGGTTGTGTCTGATCATTTGTATATCATCTTCACTCCTCCCTTTCAGCTATGATCTTATCTTTGCCGGGGCACCAGAGGAGACTCTCAGGAAGTTTCAGCAATCCAACCACAAGGTGCTGTTTGCCGCGGATGGACTGGTATGGCCAGATAAACGACTAGCTGAGAAGTACCCCTCCGTCCGCAGGGGCAAGCGTTACCTCAACTCTGGAGGTGGGTTCCAAAAATTCTCCATGTATTTTGCTTGTTTGTTTTGTGGTTTATTTACAACAATATTCTTTCAACCAGCTTTTTTTTTTAAGACGACACTGGTCTGGAAGGTTTGCTTTAAGTTTTCAGATACTTTGTTTCAGACACTGCACCTCTAATATATTGATGACCAGGGACTTTGCCTCCAATAATTACCATAAATTCACCTACCTCTCCACGTAGTCTCCAGTCCCGAGCATGGGCTCTAACTTCAGGGTGTTGGATGACAGCTGGAGCATTCCTGTGCTGCCCAGCAGTGTGTGTCAGCCTAGCATACAAACCAGCTCTGGTTTCACTGACCCTCCAGCTCACAGGAGATCACCTGGAGAGAAAAAGGAACCAAATACAGTCAAGAATGAGCTCGGTCTAGTCCAGCTGCAAGACCAGAGATTCATCGCACAAGCACTTGAATGACAGCAAGTTCAACCACAGTTGCATCAAGAACGCACAAATAAATCTATAGGAAATATTTTAGTTAAATAAAGATGGTGTTGCTCTCTTGAATGGATAAAAAAACAAAGAAAGCTGGTCACTGCACACCATATACACCATATTTGAATGGCTGTCTCATGCAAGGTAAAAGAGTGGGATAGCCAATCCAGGGGTGAATTGCATACTGTGTATATCCCACTTCCTGTGCACAAACCAGCATGTATTTAGACAGAACACGTGCACCTCTCTGACCCTGCATGGATACAGTTTTTGCCTTGGCTAAACCTAAAATGTGGCGGAAACCAAAAAAAAAGGTGGGGAAAAACAGAACGTTAACATAATACGAAACAGATGGTTTTATACTTTAAACAGATCTCCTGGCAGAAGATGAGTATTCTGTGGGCACATCTCTGCAGTCAATGGGCACCTCTATCCAGACTGTATACTGATCAGGCTGTGCACCGACCTGCCGCAGATAAAACTGGAGTTATGGGCCCTCTTTCTATAACTCCAAATGTTGCTTACATCATCATGTCATTTCATATAAACAGGAGAAGCACGCTTTGTTTTTCTCGTATTATGATAAAAATGGGAATAGAAATCTTTCTTATGTTCATGTGTAGGATTTCCAGGTGATCATGTTTGCGGAGCTTTAAAAATGAAAAGAAATGACGAGCAAATTTGCACCTCTATGAATATGCAGATGAAATCATCTTAGTAGCCTTTTTGCTTGGCTTCTGTTCTGCCCACACAAACAGCCCCAGTGCATGTGTAACACCAATCCACAGTGTATCTCCCATTTGCTGGAAGATTAACCAAGACCTTCAACTGGGATCTGCAGAAAGAAAGAAATCCTAGTTGGTTGTGAGGATTAGCTGAAAGAGAAACTGCAAATCTGACGATAAGCATAGGAACGGTAAAGTTAGAGCATAAGACATTAATGTTACTCTTTGGGGTCATGGCGGGTGTACGTGTTTTGTCTTAGGGTAGATGAGTGTTTGAATAAATTGGCTTTAAACCCATCTAACCCACCCAAATTCTCCGGATACACGGGGGGTTAAGGCATTCCACCGTCAGCTGTCAGACTTTGAAGGCTTGCAGGCCTTATTGGAATTCAGTGGGCCAAGAAGCAGTGGGTCCGCGGTGTTGTTAGTGTAAAGAGTGCTGGAGCAACTTTGAGGAATGGCAACAGGCTTGTGTTAGTTTTAAAACATTAAACCCCCAGGTTTTTTATTACTATCTCATGGTATGAAACTAAAGTATATTTTCCCTGTAAACTTGCCCTGTGAGGTATTTCCTGTCCACAGAGCACAGGATGTGGGTGAGTCCATTCATGTCAGTATTAACTCAATACTTAGCCGTATATGTCTTTTTTCTGTTTTTTCTGTTCCCTCCATGTGGTTGCTCTGACAGGCATCCACTTTGCATGTTGCAGACAGTTCTAGGCGTACAAATTAAGCTACACCACGTTCACGTGAAGAGGCTGAGTGATGAAAGCTCTGGATACTCGTATATGCTTTCAACAAGGAGTAACAGTATGTTCTCATGCATAATCCAGAGGGCGCAGCCAGCTGCAGCTCGCTGGTTCTTCAGGACACTGAATTACTGCTTTCCTTGCGGTCATCAGTCTGGTCTGACCTCCCAGAGTGGAGCCTAACTGTCTCAGGCTGATCAGAGACTGTTTTTAGCAATCATTGTCATTGACATGACATGTGGATTTGTCTTAGCTCCCTGAATGTGCCACAGTTTGTATAAAATTGTAGGCTTTGTTTGTGTTCCTTCGGCTACCGCCCAAGTGACCAGTGGGGAAAGTTTTATTGTATTTGGACACACACAACTGTCTCACGGAGAGTACAGTGTCTGAGGGGTGGAGCTGAGATAAAGAGGGGTTGTGTTTTTCATCGGCTGTGGGGGACAGTTTAGGCAGGTTAACCAGGTAACTTCCTAACTAAACTAACAATGGTTGAAACTAATTACTTCAGACATTTGAGGGTTTCATACATAAAACTACTGGTGCTGCAAATGAAGCATCACATAGGTTGGTCTAGAGTCTAGACACAGACCTATGAGAAAGAAAGAAAAACAAACAAGAAAAAAACACAAAAACAAACACCACTGCTTTTCCATGCCAGCAAACGTTTTTAAGTGTTTCCAACACAAAATTGAGTTTTTTCTTCCCCAGAAAGTTTTCCCAGCTCATGAGCAGGACCTGTGACCAACAGTATAATCTGCCTAAAATTCAGGATTTCCTTTTAACTTCTTTTCATTCCTGCTGTTGAGATTATGTCATGTCTACCCGTTGACTTGTTTACAACGTCTGAGGCTTTTTCTCAAATGATGGGATGCAGAACGGTGCACACCAGCAACACAGCCAAACCCTGCAATCTGTTTCTGTGGTCAGTGTCCTTGAGCAAGAGAGGGCAAGCGGGAAAAAAAAAGAGGGAATTGGAAAGTTGGAGTAGACATTGCCATGAGAATATACATTTAGAGTGGGCAAAATGGGCACTCACATAGTCCCAGAAGCCCAGATAGCAGTGAGAAGGGCATATCAGATTGCAGTTTTGTTTGTTACCCATTACTAAACTTCTCTCTATCTACAGACTGTGGGAAGAGAAAGGCCCAGCCCATTTCTGGTGTGCTCGGGAGGCCTGCCAAAAATCACACTTTGTTTAAGGCGTTGAGTCGTTCTTGGGGTGAAGCCTGTGGACCATGAAGGCAGCAGATCTAGCATAATTGTCCCTAAGCAGCCTGTCAGTGGCATATAACCCTGTAAACATCCCACACCATATAATTAACGTCTTGTTATGTGTTTCACACTGTTCCTTGCAGGTATAATTGGCTACGCTCCCTACATACACAGAATAGTTTCACAGTGGAGCCTCCACGACAATGATGACGACCAGCTCTTCTACACCAAGATATACCTGGACCCTTTAAAGAGAGTGAGTTTACAGCCTCAACGCCAACGATCAATCGAACAATGTTTGCTTTGGACCTACGAGCAAATCTGTCTTCATATTTTCCAGGAAACACTCAATATGACTTTGGATCACAATTGTCAAATTTTCCAGAACCTGAATGGGGCTGTTGGTGAGAAATAAAATTGTTTTTAAAATGTTTTTTGCTAGAATACTTTGAGCCATTTTAGGCCTGTAGGGAAATAAATGTCAGTGCTGAATGGCTGAGCTTGTGGTAGCGTTTGCTGCTGGAAAACAGTCTGTTTGGTCTGAGGAAAAACTCAGCTCCTGGTTAGTGAACTTGAGTCACCAGTGCAAAAAGTGTCTCATCTTTCCCCGTTTTGACAGATGAAGTGCTCCTCAAGTTTGGAACAGACAGAGTGAGAGTGAGGAACATCATGTACGACACGCTGCCAGTTGTTGTCCATGGCAACGGAAACACCAAAGTGAGTACAGAAGTCTTACCATGGGCACAGCTAACCACGTTGCCATATGGCCGGTCTTCACTTCTGTAAAATAAGGAACTATGGCCAACGACACAAGCTCTGAGTTCAGTCGTTCAGCTCTCTTCCACCATTTGACCATCAGATCTCTTTTCAACTACTTACAAAGAGTGTTCAATTCTGGGAAATTCAGGGAGGAAAAATTAGCAAATGATTCATGGAGGGGTTGAAAACCAGTCATTAAGGCCATCTCATTCATCATGGAAGTCGAGGCTTTAGTTAATGCATTCCTTATTGCTATTTAACATCAGTGAGTATCTCACAGGATGTACCGATATCAGTCTGTTGAATTTGTTTTCCATGGAATTTTCCTTCCCGTAACTCCTCCTGAGTTCTGTTCTGCAGCCGGCTGAATGTGTCTGCTCACCACTGGTAATGAACCAAACCCACCAAACTACTGAGTCATTCCTCCCAGAGGCCCAAACAGCCATACGAGAATCTCAAAGTCTTACATGAAGCAATCCATGACCTAGCAGTGGTTTATGCCACTGGTGCTGCCCAGCTGGATATCTGACCCTTAGTTTAAATATGTCCAGATTATCGTGCCAAGATCAGTCTGGTGACAAGCACATGAAAACAGCACAAGCATCTGAAACAGCAGATTGGTAAATACCTCCACCCGGGAAATAATGGGTTCCTATAAAATGTGTAACTTCAATTCACACTGAACACAAAGCAGGAATGGTTGTGATTACAATTAATGACATTTATGCAAAACACAACAAAATGAGAAAGTGATTTCAATGGACTGCCAAATAGGAAAATTTATGGTCCCCGAGGCCTTAAATCTAAACTAAGTAATTCCAGCCATCCCCCAACAATAAAAGAGCAGACAAGCAGAGTATTTTATGTGGTCATCTTGGGTATAGTGTTCTAAACACAAAAAAGAAATATGTTTTACACTGTTGCTAATAAACATTTGCTTAGAAACACACAACAGAAACACATTTATATATAGCACAATCTGTATTTATTTAAGAACAAACAACTGTAAACCAGACATTCATTCATCAAAAGTGCAGAACTTTTGCCGAAAATCATCCTCTGAACACAAAAAGCTTCCTTTCCATCACCATTTGTTCATGCTCTTTTGCAATGATATATTTTTGCTCTCTAAGTTTTCACAACAGTTTCAGGGAGGCCAGTTTAAAGCAGTTCATCTTATCCTTGTCCACCATTTGCTGAACAATGTACACTGGGAGGGTGGCACGGTGGTGTGGTGGTTAGCACCATCGCCTCACAGCAAGAGGGTTCTGGGTTCGAGTCCCAGGGGACCCACAACCTTTCTGTGTGGAGTTTCCGGGTCCTCCCACAGACCAAAACCTGATTGGATGTTGCCCCTAGGTGTGCCTGGTTGTTTGTCCTTGTGTTTCTCTGTGTGGCCCTGTGATGGACTGGCAGACCGTCCAGGGTGTACCCCACCTCTTGCCTATTGACCACTGGGATAGACTCCAGTCCCCCAGCGACCCCATTAGGGAATAAGTGGTAATGATAATGGATGGATGTATACTGGGATTATCCAAAAGCTCCAATATGAAGGACTTAAACTAGTTTTCTAACTAAGTGTAAGACATTTCAACATCAAGGGGGTCTCTAATCTTCTGTTTTCACATATTCATCAAATAGAATATCGGAGCAAGCCCGCAGTGTTATTGAACCTCCACCAAATCCACTGTGATTGTTCTTTTCCACATTAATCAAACATAGTATTTTGTTTCCTTTGGCTGACTTTCTTCAGAGGTCGTAACATCAGAGAGACGAGATGATTATGACTTTCCTGGGACTTTTGCAAACACTAAACCTTCACTCAATAGCAGTACAACACTTATTGGCACCAAAAGTTTTAGTTTTTTTTGCTTTGCCCAAAAAGTTAATCCATTATTTCATACCAATTTGTCCTTTTTTCACTGACTGAAAGCCTTTATGTTGCAAAAAAGTATTTCTAAGCTGCTAACTGAACTGGTATCTTGGATTTCCTTTCTCTCTACAGATGTACTTGAACTACTTGGCTAACTATGTCCCCAATACGTGGAACTATGAACAAGGCTGCAGCCACTGTGATGACAACACTCTAGATCTGTCTGAGTTAAAAGTAGGTGCTTCATATTTAGCCTTTTCCATCCGTTTGCCATGCTTGTTGGCCCACTTCAAAACAGCCGCTTTGGAAAGTTTGTCTTTAGCCTTCGTTCCTGCGGACACAGGAAAGGATGAAACATTGCTTTGGTCTTCCAACATGAGCCATCAGTCTATCTGTGACTGTCTAGACAGCAGGAGGAGAGGCTGACTTGTCTTATTTCAACAGATAAAGGTTTTTGCTGCTGCACATTCTCCTTCCAACAATAATAGATCTGTCCGTTTGGACCCCCTTAAAAGAGCATAAGTGTGAGGTAAACTTCTCGGGGAAAAAGGAAGCCCTGTGGTGCAGGATATGGCTTCTGAGGTTTTCAAAAGGCTTCATTTAAAGGGGTGTCACTGTCGACCAGCCTGCCTTTTAGTGGGCTCCTCAGTGTGGCTTTTATCCGCAATAGTAAGTTATAGTGGTGAAAATTTGTCAGGAAGTTAAGCCAAGCCTGGAAATGTATGGATGGCAAGAATGGCAGGCGGAGGGAAAAGTCGCCAGATGTGTGGTTACATCTGTCAAGAATGTTAGCGACTTTTCCCCTTTTCAAGGGCGGAGCACTGAAGTCAACAGGCCTAATCTTTGTTTTTGTTTGTCTCAAACAAATTCTTCCAACAAAAACTGTAAATCATTTCGAATTGCAAATGAATTTCTTTCAAATCCAAGCCATCAATTTCCTGTTTACATCTCTTGATATAAACATCGCTCCACAAACTGTTACACTGCCACACACATCCTCCAGATTTACCCTAGTCCCCTTGGCTCCATTAATAAATATTGCTTAAATAGTATAACAGGAGCTGATTCAGTACAAAGCTTGCTAGCTTGAAACAGATCATTGTGACCTGGTATAATAAATGGAAAACACTGCTTCTTGTACTAATAAAAATGGGCAAGCCAGAGCAGACCTTTCTTTCCACTGTGTCCCTCTGTTTGTTTGGGACAGAAACTTCTGGAAGACCAGGTCATGTGGAAAGACAGATCATACTGCGTCCAGGCCTTTTTTTTGTGGGTAAACTCCACTTACAGGCAGTCCTGCCTTTGCTCTCTGCGTGTCTTGGTTTTGAATTTAGGCCCTGGATAGACAGTATGCACCACTGAGTAGCAGCTCCATGCCAACCACAAACCTCCTTTGTCTAAAGTAGATTCTTATACATTTTGGTGTTTCTTCTCTTTCCCATCACAAATATTTCAGTTTAGCTTGTGATTGGATCCATTCTTGTTGTCTTCCTGTGTAACAGTATATACTCACCCTGGCTCGCAGCTTGAGGTCCCCTTCTTTTGCCTGGGACGCAGTCACTGCGGAACTCGCAAATTAGACGGTTGTGCTTGGATCGCTCTTCATCCCTTGCCCAGACCTTTGCTGTGAACTGGTCAAAAGGATCAAGAGTCAAGGCTGGGATGTGTGGGCTGGAGCTGTGTGTCATGGGAAAGTCTTTCCTCCTCTCTGTCTGCTCCTTTTTTCCCTCTGTATACAGTATAATCTTCGCCCCGACTGTCATCATGGCTCTTTCACAGTGTGTGCTAACCGTCATTAGCCAGCCTGGTCTGTAGGATGATGATATCCCCTATACTTGTATGGTTAATTTAACTTAAACAGTATGATGTCATATCATAAACAAGATGACAGTTAAATCAACTGACTTAGAGGAAGTCAGTAATGTTGAAACATCTGGAGCAATTTTACTTTTTATAAGGGGGGGAGAAATGAATGATTTATAGTAAACAATATTGTCTAACTGAGACTGGCTGTTTAGACCTGGACTAAATTATCTCTCCTTTAATCTAAACAGATGTTTCCCAAAGTGTTGGTTGGGGTGTTCATAGAGCAGCCAACTCCGTTTCTGCCAGAATTCTTCCAGCGGCTGCTAACTCTGGATTACCCCAAAGATAGACTTCAAATTTTTGTTCACAACAGCGTGAGTGTTTGCAGCTGCCCTCCCTTTTTGATTCCTACACCTTTTAAGTGCACAATTCCTCAGAAGCCATTAATATTGACTTTTCCTTTCAGGAGGTTTACCACGAGAAGCACATTGAAAGGTTCTGGGAAGAAAACAGAAATGTGTTCAACAGTTTCAAAGTTGTTGGGCCGGAGGAAACTTTGAGCCAAGGAGAGGCCAGGAACATGGGAATGTAAGTGGGCTCCTTTTAAGTCGATCGTCAATATGTGTTGAGGGAAAAAAAACGACATTTCCAAAACCAGATTTAGTTGTGTTTGTGTTGGCCATCTATGAATGACTTTACTTTTACTTCACTGATAAAAGGAATCAAATGCTAACGTTTAACATTCAATTACCAAGGCCCCTGTAAGAGGTCATCATAGAAGCTGTCACTGGTACAAGATAGTGCTTTATTACATAGTTGTATGGTGACCACAGGAGTTCAGGGGGTTCACATTCACATAGTAGCATTTTTTCTTCTGTTTGCTCTCTGTTATTGAATGGACCAACTGCATGGGTTCTCCTCACAAAGTGTCACAAAGTTTAATCAGCTTGGTTTAACGCCAATGAAAGCTGCCCAGTAACAATAACCATTGTTATAAAGGTTGCTGTAAAAGGGTTTCAGGGTGCAGAGGTCTGTTGTCTTGTGTATAAAATAGCTTTAAAGGCATCATCTGTGAGATGCAGCCAGAAAGCACATGTTTAAAAGCATTTTTCAAGAAATACCCAAAATGATGAGTTTCTCAGAATTCCTAATGCAATGTTTAAGATTTTTGACCAGCATTTTCACAGGATTTTTTTTTTTTTCACACCACACTATTTCTCATGTGTGTTTGTATCTGATTGATTTCTATGAAGCAGTTCTAGCTGGAATCAGGATATTCTCTCTCTTTCTTGAATAATGCATTATGATACTCACAGCGGCTGCTGATTTAATCCATTCTCTCAGGCATGATGTTCAACGCTGAAAACGTGAAAGACAACATTTGACTATTTTGTGTTGTTTTTTTTTCAATTTCCACAGGGATCTTTGTCGAAAGGATGCTTCATGTGACTACTACTTCAGCATAGATCCAGATGTCATGCTCACCAACAGACAGACACTGAAGCTCCTCATCGAGCAAAACAGGTAATCACACAGTGACTTCAACAGATGCCACTTTGGAAGCGGTTCAACAAGCCTCCTTGGTAGCTGGCGTGATCACTGAATTTCTCCCCCAAGTGGCAAAACCACAGGAACATTACAGCTGAGTAATTAAAGTTTTAAAATAAGCTGCCCAGGCTTCCTGTTTTTGCTTGTCCATATGGAAATGCTGGAAGAGTCTGCAGCACCAACCCTGAAATGCCTATTTGCATTACACAAAAACAAACATGCAAACTCTGTTTCCCCCTCTGCAGCTCGTAATTGGGAAGAAACCTTCCCATAAACTGGATGTCACTGCGGCTGTCGCAGTGGAACTGTGACAAACTGGAAGCATGCAAAGCAAAAGACTTTCTGAGATATTTTAAGGCAGCATGGGAATGCTCTGCTGGCAGATGCTTTGTGAGGGAGAGCCGAGGAAATTTGGTTTAGTTAGTCTACTGTAAGAGAATACCAGGCGTGATTAAGCTTCATTTTAAAATTCTGTTCTGTTTATTGTTTTAGAAAAACATGAGTCTATTGAATTGCCTTTTATAGATTTGAACATACTTGAAAATTCTGTTTAAATACTTACATTTTAAACGAGGCGCTGTTATAATTCTAATTCAATCCTGAATGATGAACTAATCTGGTTTGCATTACCACGATCTGTTTGGTATTGTGGGGTTTGGCAGAGAAAATGCTTCACCCCAAAGAGAAACAGTCCATTAGGTGTTTAGCTGTCTGTTAGATTTCCCCCAAGTTTTATCTGCTCTGACAGAAACACCATTTCTCTGCTCTGTCTCTTGCTTCCCACAGAAAAATAATTGGCCCCCTTGTCACCCGTCACAGCAAGCTTTGGTCCAACTTCTGGGGAGCCCTGAGTCTGGATGGTTATTATGCCCGCTCGGAGGATTACGTTGACATTGTGCAAAGGAAACGCATGTAAGTCATAAGCGTAAACAAAGCGATACCTTTGCGTTCTCTATGGTTTACACACACCTGCCCGTGCAGTGTGGATATGACAGAAAGTCTATAACTGCACATTTGGACTGAAACCGTTCACATTCGTGCTTTGACTTCAACAACAGGAACTGCTTTTGTCACGGGCTTCCAGCCTACAGAGTACATCGGAGAGTAATTTAAGTTACCGTCTACCTGGGCAGTGATTTAGAGCTGAGCAATAAAGCCCGAGGCATGAAAATTACTGTAGTCAAGTTCGACACTTTTCTCTGATTGGACATAAAAATAACAGTAAATGGGATCCAGATGGCGCACTCCCACGCTCACCCACCACGGCACATTGTATCACCCACAAGCATCCTCTGCTCGGCCGTTTCAACCAAAGACAGCCTCCCGAATGCCACCGCGTGCATCCTGGCTAATCGCACCACATCGTTCTCTCACACCAGCTCTAATCATTCCTGGATCTTAAATAATGAACAGTGTAAATAACACAAGATGACGTCTCTTCTAGCATTCCAAGAATACAATTTGAGAAGGTCAAAGCGAAACGAGCCCCTAATCTTTCTGTTTTGTTGTTTTAAGGGGTGTGTGGAACATTCCTTACATGGCACATGTATACCTCATCAAGGGCAGTGTGTTAAGGAGTGAACTTAAAGAAAGAAACTACTTTGTTCTGGAGAAACTGGACCCAGATATGGCTTTGTGTAGAAATGCCAGAGAAATGGTAAGACAGTATTGCCGCTATGCTTCCTTTAAAATATGCATGTAAAGATTACTGAAAAAACATAGCACAGCAACTTGTAGGTTAAAATTGAAAAAAAGTGTAATTCATACCAAAGCAAACAGCTCGACGGAAACCAAAGAAGGGCAAGTATGAGTGTTTTGAAACGTCTTTGTCTGTCATTGGTGCATGACCCTTCATGCATTTTGGGGTTGCTGCTGCAGCTTGTAACCCATCACTCCTCACTTTCTCTTACCTTTGGTTGTCATGGTCTCAGATACATGTGATGCTCGGCTTGGGAGCTGAGGACATCTCCTTTTACCTTTTTATATGTTTTTCTTTTCACTCACATGTCTCGTGCTACTCCAGCTGCTTTGGAGTTGGTTTGCCTCTTTCCCAGCATGCGTTCCTTCCACATTAACCCACAAAGACATCAGCTTCAGAGGGACTCTTGCTCCTTTTTTCATGCAGGCGCTATGCCGTTTCTGCCAAGTTCTCACAGATGTGACACGTTTATTTACTTGTAACTTGTCACTGTATCTTTGCTTTTCAAATGATACCATTCGTTTTACATGATGCTTCTCCTCCGTTTTAGACCAGTCACAGAGAAAAAGACTCCCCTTCTCCGGAATCATTCCATATGCTAAGGCCCCCAAAGGTCTCCGTTTACTTTATTCTGTTTTATCAAACATCCATTTCCAATGAGTTAGAACTCAGAGTCTGAATCTTGGTCCAATTTACTGATATGCATATTTTTACTTGCAAAAAAACGTTTTCTTGTTGTGATCTATATTTCTAAGCAGCACAGTCACATTCTGGTACTTTTAATTGATTAAGTGCAGTGTGGAATCTTTGTGCTATTTACCCTGCATTTGCCAGTGAAAACGACCTGAATGAGACATACTAAGACAGTTTTGTGAGCCTGTTTATGTTGCTGCCTGTTTCACAACAGATGAAATTAGAATGGCTGGTAGCTCTTTGGAAACTGATGTTGATCATTGTTTGTGTTGAATTTACATTTAAAAGCAGATTAGTAACAAACAGAGCGATAAAGAGCTGTTTTTGTTTAGTTTTTTTTTTGCAATTCTTCACCGCAGTAAGATGAATAGTTAGGTCCCATGCAAGTCCCCTGTCCTGATGCTTTACGCCCAAACAGCCAAACCTCACAGCAAACAAGTAACCAGCTGCTCCCTCTGAACACACCGACTGATCTCAGACTAGGCTCAAACAGCATTTCCTTCCACTCCTGTGAAACATCTGGTGTAATTCACAGCTTTCACAAGATGGTATATTGCATTTGCAATTTGGAAACTGGCGAATACGATTCCAAAAACCATCCCTTATTTGTAGTGTTTGCTCCTAGTCTGAAAGTGAGTCCAAAACCACTCCTACACAGCACCCTTCTAGTGCCTAACAGGATAGTGAATATTGTTCCTGCATTGGCTTCGTCCCAATGCTGCCCCTCTGTTCCTGTCTCCTTCCCTAAGTACTCCACCTTGTCTTCTTCCAGACCCACCAACAGACCTGCAGCCCTCCGCCCACCGCCAATAAATAATCTCAGATTATTTATGTCACCTGTGTGGGAGTGTGTGTGTTTCATTTTTCCTGTAGAGTTCAACATCATTGGTTTCAGTGTGTTTAAACACACTGAAATCAATCTTTATCCTCACTTTGTGAGTGTTTACCTCTAATGATCTTGATGTGCTGTAGATTTAGATTTTAGACAGTCGTGTCAGTGTGAGTCTGTTAGAAATACCATTTGGCAGTTTTGTTTTTCTCTGAACTTTTGGGTGAAACTGACTGAACTTATCTGTTTGCTGCAGGGAGTCTTCATGTACTTAACTAACCGCTACGAGTTTGGGAGGCTCATTTCCACAGCCAATTATAACATTTCTCATTACAACAGCGACTTGTGGCAGATATTTGAAAACCCTGTGGTAAGTTAGTTAGTTGATTATTCTTCCAAATGACAATTTGAATAAAACTGTTGTCTCATGCTCGTGTCGCAAACAAATGGCATCACGTGCCTTTCTGTTAGGACCTAATCTGTAAGCATGGGGACTAGAGCTGGGTAGGGTTTAGTATGTACAAATGGAAACCCCCCGATAAGACCAATTACTTCAGTCTGATATGGCTCCAGTGTGGTGGGCCTTCTGCTTTTGGCAGGCTGGAATCTGCCCTGTAGGAGGAGGGATTAGTTCTGTGTGGTATGCAGGTCAGCAGAGAGGCCGGAAAAATGCGCGCTAATCTGAAAATCTTTTACATGCAGGACTGGAAGGAGAAGTACATCCACGAAAACTACACTCGGATTTTCACCGAAAACTACTTGGAGGAGGTTTGTTTTTATGCGTGTGTACCTGCATGTCTGCGGGGAACAGACAGACTGAGAGGCCGTGAAACAGGATGACATAATGTCGCAGGGAAATCCTCACATCTGGTTTTAACATGTCTGGGGGTAACATTACAGCCGCTTCGACTCCAGGTGACGGTGTAACTCAAGTCCATTCTGGGCGGCCTCTGCCTGCGTGTGTGTCTTGCAGCCTTGTCCAGATGTGTTCTGGTTCCCCGTCTTCTCGGAGAAAGCCTGTGATGAAATAGTGGAGGAGATGGAGCACTACGGCTCGTGGTCTGGGGGCAGACATGAGGTCAGTCAGCTTGGATCGGGCTCCCCACGACACAAAGCTACACTATGGGCACAGTGCTGCCACCCACCCCAAAGGAGTTTTGTTCTTGCACATCTGCAAGCTTAAAACTCTCTAGTGCTTGAGAAAGACTGTGATCTCTTTATCACGTTTGAAAAAGCATTAAAAACCTTTACTGTAAATAATTTAGTGTGGATACAATTTCCCTCTCAGCTTTCCTAATGCTGGGTTTTGTATCCCCGTAGAGGGGCTGCAGTTGTCCTGCCACTGCGTAAGTTGTCTGATTGTTTCCATTTATAAGACCTGTACCTCAACTGAATCGATCCAAGTTAATGTTTAATTAATGCCATCCCACTTTGATGCTCTTAAAAACAGTGGTAATGGAAGTCATTGTCATCAGAGTCTATTTAATCTTACAGTGCCTCTGCTCCAAAGTACTGGCAAGTCAACACCAATCAATGACAACAACAACACAATGTGACAGAGGTTCCAGGTATATGATGCTGTTAAGCACGGCAATATTTCCAGGACCTGTGGTTTCTGGTTTGGTATCTTCTCTGAAGCCTGGCATGATGCCTGGCTGCTAAGTAGGCAGCTGAACAGAGGCAGACGGTCAGGAAAACACTGCCATAATTCTATCATCAACCTTCTTTTCATTCAGCGGTTGAATAAAAGCGATTCAGTTAACCGGGGCCTATTTTTCCTAGTTAAATGGAAGGTGGGTGGGTCGTTACACCTGTTACCGCCAGCCCAAATTTCATCCGGCCGTTTCAAGGAAAACAGCATCAAGCCGAGAGGCGTGGTTAAAGACTTGGGGTCATTTTTGTCAATCGTTAATCACACAGCTTCATTTTCTCAGGACAAGAGGATAGCCGGGGGATATGAGACGGTGCCGACGGATGACATTCACATGAAGCAGATTGGTTTTGATAAAGAGTGGCTGCACTTCATCCGAGAATTCATATCACCTGTCACTTTAAAGGTTTTCTCTGGATACTACACAAAGGTTAGTGGGGCCCAAAGCAGAAAGGCAGCTCTGAGGAGCAGTTTCTCATCTGCATTATCCCTGAAAACCTCTTTCTGTTCTTTAGACATCTTCTACTAGTATATTGTCACAATGCCTAATTACACTACATATTACCTTCGTTTAATGATCCCCCAATTGAATTACGTATCAAAAGAGGAGGCAGAGAAGATGTCTAAAGATGTCTAAAAGCAGTATAAAGATTTTATGTATTCACCATCAATTATTTTATGTCCTGACGTGCTTTTCTGATCCTGATCGCAGGGCTACGCCATCATGAACTTTGTAGTCAAATACACACCAGAAAGGCAAGCGTTCCTGAGACCCCACCATGACTCCTCCACCTTCACCATCAACATTGCTCTCAATAACAAAGGCAGCGATTTCCAGGTCAGCAGCTGGTCCATCATTCTGCTCTCAAACATCTCGACTTATTTCAAAGTTATTGGTCCTGCTTTACAAATGAACATCACTTGACATCTGTCTTATGTATCTGTCAGGGTGGAGGGTGCCGTTTCCATAGGTATAACTGCTCCATAGAATCACCGAGAAAGGGCTGGAGCTTCATGCATCCGGGGCGACTAACACATCTCCACGAAGGCCTCCCCACCACTAATGGCACGCGCTACATTGCCGTGTCCTTCATCGATCCTTAAGACCTTTTTCTGTTTTGTCTTTCTGTTTTTCTTCGCCCCCACCCCCCCAACCCTTCACCTTTGTTTTAATTCAAGTTTCACGTGGCAGATTTTTTGCTGATACATTTTAAAGGACAAGCGGTTGAAGGAATCTCTGTCAAACAGAGCTTAGAGCGGACAGGAAAGTCATTCACACAGAGACTTGGAAGCAGAGGGCGGTGTCGCACCGGGTTTCGATTTGACGCGTTCGTACAGTTTTCTACTGTATCCAGGTTTTCCATCGCCGTGGTGACCATCACTCACACACACTGGTTTCTTTGCTGATGAGCAGCTGTACTGCACGGGTGAGCAGGCAGCCGTCGGGTTTCTTTTGGAGTCCGGGCTGCACTGTCTCTGAAGTCGCCCTGCTGGTGCTGATACACCTTTCCATGTTTCTGAACTCATTAGTGTCCTGTGTGTGTGTGTGGGTATGTATGTGTATGTGTTTCTGTGTTTTTCTACCCTGAAGCAGCTCATTTGGTATTTGTTTTCAATCAAACTTGTGTCCAGTGAAAAAGGAAATCTATTTTTCTAACTTTGCACAGCTGGACAGCGAATTCTGTTTCAATTCTGTTTTACTTGAAAGCCCCACCCCCTTTCTTCATTAATAATTACATCTGATTTAGTGAAAATAAATTCCAGGTGGTTATGTGTGAATGGATTTTGAAACTCAGCAAATTTATTGTTTAACTTATTGTGAAGTTTTAATAAAATTCTCTATGAAGAAAATCTGCTTTCTGATGCGTCATTTCTGTGTTTTTTTTTTTTTTGTTTTTTTTTTTGATTTTTTGGTTTTTGTTGGCTTTAATGACAGTAGGTTGACAGGAAAGGGGGAGACCTGCGGGAAAGGGCCGTGGGCCGGATTCGAACCCACGGCCACCCGCTTACGAGCAGAGGCTCTGTATATGGGCCGCCCGCTCTAGCCATTAGGCTACGGCTGCGGCCCTCATTTCTGTGTTTTTAAGGCATCAGTCAGTATATTTACACAGAGTGGAACCAAGCAAGGGGTCACAGCTCACCCTGGTCATTTGAAGGGGCTGTTGTTTTTGTGGAGGATTGAGGGTAATTAGCTGAAGAATGTCCTGAAACATGGAATTTGAGGAAAAAACATTGAAGACTTCCTGTCTATGTGTAGGAGAGCAGCCTTATTGGTAGTTTGATAGCTATGCAGGACTCATTCTTACAAACAGCCACAGACTGGTCCTTGTGGAGGGTCTTTGTTGCACCTCTGAATGCTGCTTAGCCTAGTGTTAGTCTATTTGGATGTCTAAACAGAGTCAATTAAAAAAGTATTTCGATTGATGTTTTTAACCATTTAGTCATTCCTCTAGGTTTTTTCAATTGTGAACAGGACAGATGCAGAATCAATCAGGCTGCTCTGCTGCAGGGAGCAGCTCTGGAGTGTTTTGGGCTGTGGCCTGATGATGTACACCGGTGCAAATGTAGTTCAGCATACCTTAGGGACTGTGTGTAAACATGTCCAATGAAGCTAATGAAAGCTACACAAATGAGGGCTGTAAGACTGATGGTGGAGCAGAAAGGGGATGCATGGGGGGGGGGCCCACTGAGATACTATCATCCTTCAGGAAACGCTGTTCATTTATATCTGAATGGTGTTTAACTCAGCAGATGTGAATCGTGAACAACAGCTAAGCACTGGAGGCAGACGATCCTACCTACATCTGTTCTTAACACATCATACTTACCTAGCTATCAAATCTCATTACTTCTTAGCGTCGGCAGCCTCTGGACTCTTGCATCTATCCCTGAGGGGCCGTGTTTTCACCCAGCAGGGTGGACTCCCCGGACCAAGCACATGTTTCAGCTCCCTGTAAAGCCCCGATGAAGGCTGAATGTCTGAAGAGTTGTTATGAAGCAGCAATGATGGGGGGAGAGGAGGAGGAGGAGATTTAGGTCAGACTTGGTGGTGGTGGGGGGGGGCTCATTCAGCAGCAGCTCACTGCTGCTGAATGAGCCCTTTGTGAGCATCATTTCCCCTGAACTGCCCTGTGTCCATTCCCTCTGAAAAGTGACATTGATTCCAACCGCTCGTGCAGGAAAACCTCCATGCCGACCAAACTAGCGGAGTCTCGGAGGAATAGCTTTATCAAAAGGCCGTAATGGATAGAAATGTTCCAAACCTGATTTGTTTCAACAGTTTAGGAGGGTGAGGTAGACTTTGGGTATCTGACTTTTAAAGGCAGGTTGTTTGAGGTCTCAGCAGATGTAAGCCAGTGAATATCCATGTTAAGGGTGGCTGAAAAGATTGGAATTAAAATCTTATACCAAAAAAAAAAAAACATTCAAATGCCACTAAGTGCAGGGTGTCCAAGTGCAGGACAGTGATTTAGCCATTAGTGCAGCTTACACGCTGGTCCTGACAAAACAAAGGCTTTAAATGAGTATTTACATTCATGCAGGAACCGAAGTGCCTGCAGCCAGTTACAGTAGTGTGTGGCCACAGCTGGTGTCCATGGCTCACATTCAGCCCGATGTGGCACTTAAAAGTAGTTTCCACCAAATTCAGGCTGCACCAGATGTTCTATGTACCAAGCCACCCAGTTAACGTTTAGACCAAAAGCTCACACTGGATGCGGTAGGCCCTTTCACCTGCAACGTGCCATTTGGCCAGGCATGTAGAAAAGGTTTTGAGCATCTGGAATACTGGAAAACGAAAGGGGCCTAAACAAAAATGGTTAATCCCTTATTGCAGGCGTGTCCAACTCCACTTTTCAAGGGTCCAGTCTTCACCCAGTTTTAGAATTGTCCCTACTTCAACACAACCGATTCTGATCAAATGGATCATTTCAAAGGATGAAGTTCTGCACCGCTCTGACATCCGTTCAAACATCCCTCCTTTAGGAAACTGTATGCGAAATATATGAATTGTGCTTACCAGATGCAGGGGGCATGTCTAGGAGGTTAAACTAAAGGGCCAGTTCACACAAAATAAATGACATTTTGTGACAGACTCACAGGCATAGATAACATTTTTGGATTTTTTAATTGGACTTAACTGAATCATTCATTTGGAGGCCTGTGCATGAAGACAAGAGGCTCAAAAACATACCTTAAGATTCAACTCTAAAAATATGTTCAAATCTACCTCATAAAAATGCTAGGTTCGGAGAAAAAAAAAAAGACTGGAAATAAAAAAATAAAAAGTAAAACTATTTTTAACTCTGAAACTAAAACAGTGGACTGATCATTTCTGTAATCCCACACACTGTTTCACGATTACAGCTGCAGCATTTTCCTTGAATAATCTACACGATCGTGCATCTTCAGAGAAAGATCACCAGGCTTTAATGTGACTACAGCCAAAATTAGATTAGATTAAATTTATTCATTTACACAGCCAGCCATTGTCAGTTTTGGAGAGGATTTTCTCTCTGCTTTGTATGCAGCTGGGTGCCCTTTCAGCTTTTATATTGGGTTCAAATGGTGCCAACTCTGTCCGTATCACACAAATGAACTTGATGAAGCGATAACCAGCCTTTGCATACTGCCCCGTAATATTGCCATTGGTTTTTGTTTTTTTGTTTTGTTTTTAATTAATTTTCTAGCTCAGCCGGCGCGTCCAGAGATACTATGGATATGAAGTAGGCCAACCATCTGTACACGTGTTAGATACCAATATGCACCGCACGGCTGACTTGCTCCTCTAATTTTGTTTGAAGAGGAGGCTGAAGGGGTGGGAGGTATCTGGGTTAAGATGAAATGCAGTTAGTGGAAAAGTACCAGCCTGGGCCACAGATCAAGAGAGGAAAAGGTTAATCCGAATGGCTGTTCACTGGTCACCAGCTGTGTGTCGTGCATTAAAGAGATGGGCAGGGACAAGTTAAAGGCTCTTATATTTGATGAATTTCAAAGATGCAAAGCATACCAAAAAATGCTCATTTGAGCAAAATAAAGTAACACAGGAACATTTTCAAGGCTTGGAGCAGAGCATCTACTCTGCAGATTCAGAAGTGAGAGACTTCTGCCTCAGACCGGTTTTTTCAGAGATCCTTTACATGCAGTTAAATAGTGGAACTCAAGTTGTCAGCCTTCATTACTAGCTGAACTTAGATATCAGTACCTCTACACCGTAGTTTATTCTTATCCAATAAATAAAGATTAAAAATAGCCAGAATTTAAATGGCTTGTTCTCTCTTTTTAATCTTTTGCCTCAGCAAACCTGTAAAAAGAACAAAGATTTCACATATAACTAAAACTCTGTATTTACTTTTAACTAAAACTAACAGTATAATGTGTATTTAGAGTGTGACATGGAACGTTTCATTGCTTTAGGAGCTAAAAAGGGGGAGAATTCCTTCATTATAGCATCATAAAATCACTGCTTTCTAGCAGCAGCTTTAAAAACACAGTAAAAGCTTTACTGGACTTTAAAAATAGACCCAGAGGATCTAAACACCGTGTGCAAAATCCCTGTTAATATCTGCGCGTCAGGGTCGCTTATGTTAAGCTAATATCTATGATTATACTCAGCACAACAAAATGAACTCAGATGTGTCAGTTGTGACAAGACGTGGCGAACGTGATTCATATGATTAAACAAAATTATTACGAGCCTGACATCTCGCCCATCTCCCAGGCAATCAAAAACATTCAACGTCCATAATACCAATTATAGCTGATTGTACGCCTTGAGACTATCAGCACACTCCCTTTTACCAGGCAGACTGTTTACCGTCTCAAAGTAAATAAGGCACACGTACCATTTAGCAAAATTATACAGCCATGCTCTGTAAAGACAATAAGCATCCCCCACACCCCCAGACAGATATTGATTTATGGAGGAGACAAAAGTGGAACATTAGATGGGTGGAGGATGGGGAGTTGTCAAACGCCGCCCGAGCTCAGTTTATAGTAAGCAAAGACAGCTCTCAAAACAGGTCTTTTATGAGCTATTTTGGAGTCTTCTGAAAGATCTTTCAGAATGTTTAGACTGGTTTTGCTCCTTCAATCAGAGCTTTGTGCGCTGAAGTGCAGATGAAAGAATGGTAGTGTGGGGTGTTCT